TCGCCAATTATGCTGCGTTTTCCAAACGTCAGTGCCCCTGCTTGCAGTTTGAGTGACTTGATTGAACTGTGGCATGATCCCCTAGGTCTTTGCCGTGCAATTGACCAGGCCAGACCGTGCCTTATTCTCATGCTGGATCGACATGTCCCAGGTTTGAATCAGAAGTGTCAACAAAGAGTTGACATTGCGGAAGGGATTGTTCACTTTCCATGTTTGGCTTCAGAGACAGACGCAATTTCGTTCATCAGATTTGACATTGCTGCGATTTCCTTTCACGAGGGTAGTAGCCCAAACAGTGGACACCATCGCACGGCTGTCAGATATCAACAACATTGGCTTGTTTATGATGACAACAGGTTGCCGGACATCATACATCACTTGCCTTCTCATGTTCTTCAGAATATCACTTTGATTTGGCTTATCCAATGCACGGCTGATGCTGCCAGGACAATGAACGAAAAGCATGGAGTGGAAACACGCACTTCCTCTAGCTCTGACCAGACGACCACTCTGACTGGACACCCTGATCAAGTTCCAGGACAACAAGATGAAACCGAGCCTGAATTGGGAGCAGCAATTGCCCTACTGACTGGCCCCACCTCATCAGCGGGTCCTTCACAGAATGCTCCAACTATGGCATCTGCTGGATCAATTGATGACAATACCATCCATGTGCCAACAAATGCTCCTGACGCTGACCTGACTCAGGCTTACAAACGGGCTCGCATCCATGAAGCCACTACGCCAATGCGGTCTGATGAGCCACTCTCCTGCTCTGGTGACGATGTGCCTTCTGGACTATTTGATCCAGCCACCTGAATGCATTAATGCGCTGCAGATGGTTGCATTCTTCAGCCGCTGCTTCTTCATGCGCTGCTGATTGCTTGGTGCGCTGGCCGCTGCGGCATCGTGACTCTTTGCGAGCAGCTGCAGTGTGAGAGCTCTGAGCCTTCTGAGTTTTTGGTTGGTCTCACGCCCTTTTTGTTTCTGGATCATTTCTCCAATTTACTTTTGTAGCATTTTTCCTGACATTTGTTGCAACAGTGGGTGGATGCTAACAACAACCTGCATTCACTTTTTGCGCTGGTTGCAGCCTAAAACCCTAAGGGGTAATTACAAAGTGCTAGTCAAAGCCACAATCAACACCATCCGGACGTCAAAATGGTGGTGGCATTGGGCCGCGTGAAAACACGTGTTGGGCTTCGCCTACTGACCTAAATGAAAGAGTCAAGGGGTCTCAAAAAACACACACACACACACGCGCGCACACACACACACACAAAAAAACACACTTGGTGACATCCGTGGCAGGCGTGGCACTTGGTGACATCCACCTTTGTTTTACGTGGCAGGCGTGGCACAAAACTCGCATCCACCGTCGTTTTGCGTGGCAGGCGTGGCACTCATGGTACTGTGTGGCGCGCTTGGGGCACTAACTCACATCTACCGTCGTTTTGCGTGGCAGGCGTGGCACTCATGGCACTGGGTGGCGCGCTTGGACTGGCTTGGGCGCCTGTGACGCCGCGGCACTTTGCGTGGCAGGCGTGGCACAACCTGACATCCACTTTCGTTTCACGTGGCAGGCGTGGCACAAACTCACATCTACCTTCGTTTCACGTGGCAGGCGTGGCACTCATGGCACTGGGTGGCGCGCTTGGACTGGCTTGGGCGCCTGTGACGCCGCGGCACTTTGCGTGGCAGGCGTGGCACAAACTCACATCTACCTTCGTTTCACGTGGCAGGCGTCGCACTCATGGCACTGGGTGGCGCGCTTGGACTGGCTTGGGCGCCTGTGACGCCGCGGCACTTTGCGTGGCAGACGTGGCACAAACTCACACCCACCTTCGTTTCACGTGGCAGGCGTGCCACTTATGGTACTGGGCGGCGCGCTTGGACTGCCTTGGGCGCCTGTGACGCCGCGGCACTTTGCGTGGCAGGCGTGGCACAACCTGACATCCACCTTCGTTTCCCGTGGCAGGCGTGGCACAAACTCACATCTACCTTCGTTTCACGTGGCAGACGTGCCACTGATGGTACTGGGTGGCGCCCTTGGGCCGGGATTTGGCGCCGGGGCGCCGCGCCGCACTTTCGTGGCAGGTGTGGCACAACCTGACATCCACCTTCGTTTCACGTGGCAGGCGTGGCACAAACTCACATCTACTGTCGTTTTGCGTGGCAGGCGAGCCACTGATGGTACTGGGTGGCGCCCTTGGGCCGGGATTTGGCGCCGGGGCGCCGCGCCGCACTTTGCGTGGCAGGCGTGGCACAACCTGACATCCACCTTCGTTTCACGTGGCAGGCGTGGCACAAACTCACATCTACTGTCGTTTTGCGTGGCAGGCGAGCCACTGATGGTACTGGGTGGCGCCCTTGGGCCGGCATTTGGCGCCGGGGCGCCGCGCCACTTTGCGTGGCAGGCGTGGCACAATCTGACATCCACCTTCGTTTCACGTGGCAGGCGTGGCACAATCTCACATCTACCGTCGTTTTGCGTGGCAGGCGTGCCACTTATGGTACTGAGTGGCGCCCTTGGGCCGGGATTTGGCGCCGGGGCGCCGCGCCACTTTGCGTGGCAGGCGTGGCACAACCTGACATCCACCTTCGTTTCACGTGGCAGGCGTGACATCCGCGAGCGGGTTGGGCCGGGTCGCGCGGGTTAGAGCTGACGTGCGTGAGCAGTGCAGAATCAATTCTGCCACCGAATCTTCAGGAACAGTTACAGATACAGCATCAGTTCGACCTTGCGAGTCAGTTCCCAGCGTCTGTGGCTGGACGGTCCAGGCAGAGACCCTGGGTTTCCTGTGTTTGCTCTGCATCAAGGTTTGATGCAATCGAGGCACGTGGATGGAGGATTTTTCTGGATTTTTCACTGCAGACCGGATGCAGACTCTTGCGGTATAACAGCTGTCGGAGCACTGGAAAGCATGCATGCAGTCTGCCAGAATGGTATCACTACAGGCAGACTGGATGGAGACTGTTTCTGGATTTTCATCTACTCCTTTTTCGTCTCGGACGTACTTACAAACTGAGAGTTGAGAACAAAGACATCGATTGACGCGCCGTGCGAAGATACATTTGATGCTAAGTCCTCCTGCCGTAACTGCTGAATGCTTTTGGCAACCACAATGCCACCGTTATTCAGCAGTTGCGCCAGGACAAACACTATATGCTCCTGAACACGATGCAAATGTGATCGAAAGAAAAGATGGCGTTCGTCCCAGCTCAGAACAGGTTCTGTGCAAACAGTTGCAGCTATTTGTATGTCACTTGCTGTTTCTGCACTGTCCATGGACAGCTGTTTTGTTGCAATTTCAGCGTGATCGCAACTTCTGATACTACCTGCCAGGTACTGACCTCATCGCGTACATGGTCCACGCCGACACCCGCACTCACACACACACACAGACACACACACACACATACACACACACACACACACGCACACACACACACACACACACACACATCCCAGCACACCAAACAACCACACACACCCACACACACACCCACACAAACACCACACACACAACCAAACACCCCACACACGACACACACGCCACACACGCCCACACACAACGCCCCCCCACACACGCCCACACACGCCCCACACACGCCCACACACACGCCCACACACGCCCACCACACGCCCACCACACGCCCACACACGCCCACACACGCCACCACCACACACGCCCACACACACGACACACACACACACACCCACACGCACACACACGCACACACACACGACAAACCACGCACACACACACACACACGCCCACACACACACACACACACCACACACACACACATCATCCAAACGCCAGTCGTGGGCCATCCGTTTTCGTGATGGTCTGCGCTGTACGTTTGCGGACACATAATCAATGGTCACGCATCGATTGCCCTTCGCCGCACTTCCTGGCGTGGGGCATCTTTGATCGTGGCCGCACACCACACACACATACTCGCACACACACACACACGCACACCCACACACCTCACCCACAAACACAACTCATCCGTACACAACTTACTCACACATACTCGTCCACACATAACTTACTCCACACCAATCCTTCACCATCTCTTTTCTCTTTCTTGCTTACCCCATGCCGTCTTTGCCTTTCTTTTGTTGCTTGTTGGAAGAAGTTGACTTGTGGGGTTATCCGGTCCTTTAATTCTTGTTTGACCCCCATTAAAGCCATTTCAAAAAACACCTTACAGTTTTGTTCTTCATGTTTTTTTTTTTAATGTCCATCATCTTCATGTTGAGCTGTAAACATTAATATTCATGATCTTAATATATCTTAATCTTGGTGGAATTGTGGGCTGCACCCATTGACGATCGTTGACGATGGAGACCCCGACGCTGGTAGTTTTTGCGTATCAGCTCACAGGAAGGGGGTTCGATCAATCCGAACGCCTTGTACCCTATGATGCCCCTGAAATCTAACGGTTGTACTACTTTTCTTCTAAAATCCTGGCCACCAATTGGACAATTTTGGGTTGATCCTGTTGTTGAACAAAGCCACTTAGCATCCTGGAAGTTAAGTCATTGGATGCTTCGAATCTGGGCTGTACTCCAAACACATTCCTCGCACCATAACGGCATCCTACAGTAAGGGCCACTCTTAGGCATCCTGCCTAAAGTATCGTCAATGAAAATGAGGATAAGGAATGCTAAAGAGAACGGCATTAGAGCACGCACCACAAGCAAAATGCCCAATATTCTGGAACCCATCCAGTGATGTTTACAACTGTCTGAGATGCAATTAAATAGATGACTTCATGTAACCATTTTGTGAATCTTAAAGTTTGACTATGATCCACCAGCTGCAGGTAAAGATTAAAAATGACGAAGGTGCATATCACTAAACATCACTAAACATCACTAAAGATCATTAAACATTGTGCCACATATTGGCCACATTCCATCTACATTTCATCTAGGCTCTAGGCACAACATGAACAAATAAAGCAGATCCGAGCAGATCGAAGGCCTTCTTGGATAGGAATTGCACTGATCTTCTCCATCGGGCTACGTGAATGCCGGTGAGCCTGGCAGAATTGGCAGAACACCCTTTTTTGTGGGTGATTTTTAAGGATTTCAATAGATTTCAGCATCCAAAGAATGGGGAAACATGGAAAAAACATGGCTTGAATCAACTATAGTGGGAGGATATAGATCTGTAAAACGGATATGCAAATGCGAGATTGAACGCCCGTTGTGAATGAGATGACTGAAGCAGAAAGAATGGGTGTGCAATGGAGTATAGAAGTAAAAGGCCTCTCACAATCAACCAATTGCACAAAAACAAAAAACTTGAATTTAACCAACCATGACGAAATAATATGAAGGGTTGCAGACAACAACATTGTTTTGAATATGTGGATTTGTCGGACAAATGGGTTTAAATAGGGATCATCAGATGTAATGAGATATAGTTATTGGATACGGGCTGGAATTCATATTATCTTGATTTGCGAGTAAACGTCACCGACAGAAATACCAATAGCTTGTCGTTCAAATGATTGAAGCGACATGCCTTTTGGTAGTCGAACATGGCAATCAAAAAGCATAGCTTGATGAGAATCACATTTAAATGGCTATTTAGTTTAGGGATCTCCGTTTAATAACTGAAGGGGATGGACCAATACTCCATTCATATCAATACGCCACTGAGATCGCATGAAACATCCCATGAAATATGAAAAAAACATCATTGTGCCACCGGTGTTTTGCTGGTTATATCCCATCTTACACCTATCATATCATCATGGTTAAATCATACTAACTAACCTGAAAATAGCAGTTATCACATGGCTATGGGGCGATTTCCAAAAACCAATTCCCATCATTCCAGTGACGTCACAACGTGAGGTCATGATCAAATTCATCCTTTTTTCTTCCAATCTTAGAAATATATCGTCCATCATCCTAAATCACATCCAGATCCTTTTCCATTCACGATATAAATCACCATCATCTTCCAACGATCACTCGAAACCAGGGCGCTTTTCCGGTTCGAAATTCTCGAGATCCGTTTCCGCAGGGTCCAGGTCCAGTATCTGCAAGCAGCGGCTTTTCTGGCGAAAAATTGACCCAAGTTCTCCAAGTCAAATGATTTTTTTGTTTTTTTTGGGAGGATTTGAGACTCCAATGTTCAGATATCACGTTTCTTTGGGAGGATCAACATTTTCCGCAGAAGCCCAACAATTTGCAGTAACTTGATGACTTGATGCTGATAGCTTCAAACATCGAGAGAACCGAGCCAGCCGATGCATTTCCACTCGGTTATTGCGGGGATGGGTTCATCAATGGGTTCATCCCAAAGGGGGAACATTTCTGTGACCATTCAGTTGCGATGTCACGGAACTTGGGTCAAACGCAGCCCCCTTAACACATCAAAAACGACCAAAAACAACCAAAGTCTGGGTAGTATTCTGGTTGAGTTATGGTATGTTATGATGCTTCACCTCAAGCAGAACTGGCCCCCACCAGCAAGTCGTGCTGCTTCGCATCATGAACTTGCATGAGGGGCCTCCAAAACCTTATTCACTGCCGAGAAATGATGATGATCATTGATCTCTATGTCCTTTTCCCACTGGTTGGTCTATCTATAGAGGGGTCCCTCCATGAAAACCAACCAGTAGGTAGATGATAATATAACTATACCAAACCGGCCCGTCATGTCAGAAGAAGAGACAACCCAGAAGATGAGCCAAATGGTTAAACAATAGCTGGTGGAAAACAAGGTTATCAATGCTATAATTGAAAGGTTGCGATACCATATGTTTGATGCAAGAAAAGATCAAAAGAAAGTGAATAATAAGCACATCGCCCATATAGGTTTTTCTTTACACAATTTGATTAAACCTTTCATGACATGTTCGTTGCTTGTAAAAACGGGATACTGTATATAAACTGTCATTGATGTGTGTAAATAAATATATATATAATATGTGTGTGTTCTGGTGGTTTCATGCAAAAGTCTTGGTTTTGAGGATGTTGCCGCAAGTAAGGCCTACACCGCAGCTGCGACTCATGACTTCTCGCAACATTTTAGTCCAGTGAGGTAAACACTGATATCGCCATTGGCAAAGATTACCGTACTTACCCTCTGGTAAACTAACACCACTATGGAAAATCACAATTTTTAATGGGTAAATCTATTATAAATCATCATTTTCAATAGCTATGTTTGTTTACCAAAGGGTAACTGGTTTCCCCATGTTTCCCCATCCGAGGAGAAACCAATTTTATATCAGAGAATCTTTCACCAATTTTGATGGCATGATCCAATCATGTTCTTGTAGGAAGTGATATAATGTATCTGCACAGCGTATTTTAACCACGCTTCAATGATCCTCACTACTCCATACTATCCATCATACGCTACATTCTGGGTTTTGCTCATGTCCCCCTTATAGATGATAGTATCACTCATTCCCCATTAAATTCCATATAACAACGTTTTTTGCTGGTTCTCCCACTAAAACCCCATGCGGTCCCACATCATTATGTCATTGCACCTGGCCTCACAGATCTCTCGATGGCTGAAACCCTTCTTCTGCCTGTGTAATGAGGAGATTGACGGGGTGTAATAGGATATCATGGGGATGTATGACCAACATATATGATGTGGGTGTGTCTGAGAATGAGATATGCCTGTAGATTTGCCTTTCTAACGGGAATCGAAGGGTGAGTTCTGACAAAAACTGGATTTGGGAGATACCTTACTCTCAGACTGGGCCATATAGCACCCCTTTCACTCAATACACATGAAATCGCACTACTTACCAACAAAAATAAAACAACCTGTTTGGTCTGCTTGGGAATATTCTCTTAATTTTCCAAAGCTAAAACCGGTAAAAACTGTATGTTTGAAGGGCTTAGGGGTTTAAAAAAACGAATCTCTTCCACCCATATGAATCTGTAAATATATATGTATATTTAGACATATATCATTATCAACCATAGATTATAGGTATACATAGTTTCCATTTTTTAGGTGGATAAACCGATGGTAAAAACACAGCAGCAAACTCGGCAGATTTGTTGTAACATGCCAATAGGCAAAGCTATCCTGGAATGATCCAGTGCATTCCAATTAACCCTGGTTTTCGGAAAATGGCATTCCACAAAAAACAGGCAGGGTTGACATAAGCATCCAGAAACTAAACATGGATACCGTTGGGTTCCAAACAAGCGGATGTTCCAGCATACAAAATTGCAACTGGTTAAAATGCTGTTTTTTGGTGTGTGCCCAAAATGCGAACAACCAAGCACATTAGGGTCCGGCAAAAGTGGTGCCCAAACTCCAAGTTAAAAATTTGCTACCCAACTATAATTTATAATTACTAAATTCCTTTATTTAATTTATAGTTATAATTTAATTCAAAACTAACTTCACTAACCATGGTTTTGATTCCCAACGGGAAACACATGTAACATTTTCAGTCATACTTTCATGCAGCCTTTCATTCATTCAATCATTCAGTCAGTGATTCCTTCCGTCTGTCAAACAAACAAACATGGTCAACGCCCTTATCTCCTATAGCAGCTGTTCATTTTTTGAAACTTTCGCCCCAGCCCAGAACTCACTTTCATTTCCATTCTCGTGTTTCCCAAAAGACTCACTAATCACTGGAATTCCATAACTCAACCGAAACCGTCTTTCCCCATCTTGGTACAACTGCTGTATCATAATGATTGTCATGTAAGGCATGCTGACCCCAATGTATTCCCACCATGAGACAGTGAGCCCTAATAGGATTACTCTCCATGGTCCACGACAAGGAGCAGAATCTCCTTCTTCTCCTTCATACGGTGAAGCAATGGCACGTCGCCATCGTCCACTTCCGCGCGATCGTGCACCTGGTGGTTGCCATGGGTGCCATCGGCATTTGGTCGGTTGAATTCGTCGCAATCATATGCGTAGAATCATAGATGATTCTCTTTAACTACAATCGCGACGCAAAACATTCACAGTTTAAACCTATTCAACTTGATGGTTTTCCATACGCATGTTTATCGGTTATCCTGCGAATGTTCCCTTGGATTGAATCTATTCTAGTTGGGATCAACACAAGTCATTGCCAATTAACGCAATTAACTCCTAAAAAATGGCAGGGGAAACTAGCAGCAAAAAACAAATGTTTGGACAAAACCTCGAAGTTTCCACCTGTAAACAACAAGTTCAAGTGGAGATGATCGTTGCTGATCCTCGAGAATACCCAGGCAGGGCGGGATACCTAATGTTAGAGCAAACTGCTTTCCAACGGTGTACAAATCTTGGCTTCAATCAAAATGTCCTATCGTCGAATATATCTCAGACCAAATCCCTCCAATGGCAAAAAGCAGCGAATCAAATTCCCATTGTGCAATTTCCCCCGGCTTCCCAATGTTTTACAACGGTTTTTGCTTGTCAAAGTTCGACCACATCCCGCAGCACCTTGACGCCGTACTGTTGCTCAGTGCACTGAGGTTCAGAGGTGCTGCAGGGCATGAGCTGAGTGCAAGTGGCACTGATCCAATACCTCAGCATTACATAACTTGACTCAAATTCTTTGTGAAATGAGATGGCGGCGGCAATTTTGATTTTTTGCGCTGTCATCACATCGGCTAGAAAAAACAAACGGGGAGTCTTAGATGCTGATGGGTTTCATGATGCTGAAATTCAGAACCACGCAGCTTCCAGTCTACGCTTGGGCTACACGTGCGACCCTAGCTACGCGCAAAGTGCTTGCTGCATGTCCTTTTCTCTACCTGGTTGCGCAGGCATGGCCATGATGGTCGCAATGCATCCAGGCCTCCTTCATTGAACGTCGCCAAGGTAGCAGCAAAGGGTGGCAACTATAGATTTTCGATTCGTCTTGTTTGGTTGTAGTCTAACAAACATTTTTTGCTTGAATCTGGCAGCGGGCCGCGCCATGTCACATTTCCATATTATGTGATTGTGCTGTGTTTTTGTTTGGACATCAAACACCAAGGAACTAGAAACTTAGGAAAGTCACACGGTTCTTTGCACATGGCCCAGCAACTACAAGGAACATGTTGTCAAATTTTGCCTCCAACGTGCCATCATGGACAAAGTCATCTTGTTGGGAACTGAAAAAGATGAATTTTACCAACTTGTCCTTGTCCTGCAATGTTTCCAGTATGTTGTAGGTTGTCGGGCGTGAATCATCGAATGCTTCCTGATTTCTTTTGGCTAGCTAAATTCTAGATCTTGGATGCGTTGCATGATCGGTCTACCCTTAATTAAGCATGATTTTGGCCAAACTGGTCGGGTCATCACCGCCTACGCTTCTGTGGTCAAACTGCCCGTGCGACGCTGCAATCAGGCGGGCGTGCGTGACGGATGGCCTTGATGAACATGTGCGATGTTTAATGTTGTTGAACCAGTGAATGGACAGGCTCAACTCAGCTGCATTTGGTGGATGCCAGCGCGCGCATCTTCTGATTTGCTAGCAATCCCAAACTGGAAATACAAAACATGTTTTGATCATGGCCAAGAAGTTATCGAAAAAATGGTCCGACTTCAGCTTCGCAATCTACTCGCATAATTCAAGTTGGCCCTAAAATTTATGAAGCGAAAAATCGCAGATGTCACCCGATTTTTGAAGGCCACCAGTCGTCAAAGAAGCCAGCCGGTTTTTGTCCGTGGTAGGCCAAGTGGAAAACTTAAAAACAATGTGCCAGTTCAATCTCCGAGCTGCTTTGGTGTTGTAGCCCAAAAAGGTAAATTTCGCCGATTGTTGCTGATTTCTGATGGGGGCCCACTATCACAAGCAAATCTCAGGCACCTGGTATTGGAGAAACTGGTATCATCATCACAGCTAGCTAGCGCTCCTATTGTGATCTGTGCGCGCGACGCCGTCATGGTGCGAAACCGCTTGGATTGGGGGTGCAGTTCCAGATATGATTGGATATTGCATGATAGCTGTTAATTATAGGGGCTTTACATGGTTTTACCCATGAAAGTCACCCCAACTGCACCCCGAAGTACGCCATTTCTCGATGCCTCCTTCCTTGACCTTCGTGAAAACTGCAGCGACGCGTGTCAAGTGGATGGCCTGATCGAATTGAATGCAAGATGCAGCGGGTTGAAACGCTTGCTCGCGTGATTGCGTTTATGGCCAATCGCCAGCAATTATTGAGACTGTAGGCAAAGAAAAATGAGGATGCGTTTACTATGCCCAAATCTTGTTGTTCAAAAGCAAAATGTGTTACCACTTGTTGGAGCCATCAGCCACCATAAAAATCATAAAACGATTGATTACTCTTAGGCACTCACCGCAAACATAAGACATGTTTGCTGTTGAGCACATGTTCACCCAAGGTTTCCCTACCAAAATTGACAGCTGATCTATCCCCAAATAAAGGTCTAGTCTACCAAAACGGTCTGAAGTCATGAAATATCCCATATCCAAACTCAGAGTTGCGGAAGGGTGCTGAAAAAAATCCGAGACAGGGCAGTTCATTCCCAAGCATGTGTTCAAAGCATTTCCACCATCCAGAAACTGGGTTTCTAGCACCTTGTCTTGACGTTTGGTCGGTTCTCAATTGCACTTTTTCTACCTGTCGATAAAAACCAGGGGATTAGAATTTTGACCTCTCCCCAGGTGGAAGGTCTTCCAGCTGCCAACAAAACATGGGCGCAAAGCCAGGAAATGGCGATGCAAACAGGTTTATTAACTTCACCGAAGCGACAATATCAACATGAATAGCTAGTAATCGGGTGATAAGGAAACATGGCAATAGATATAAGCAATGATGGAACAATTCCCAAGTCAGAAGCCCGAGTAGTATGTTTTTATCTGTGGGCGCGGATGAGGTCCCTATTGTTGGGGGCCCCTGCAGATTTCCAATTCGGACTGGAACAAGATAGGATGAGCGATAGCTTTTGCACCGATCTAGTGCTACCAACTATAAACATCGGAACATCACAAAAACAACCGATACTGATTTGTAGTAGGTTACCCTCTGGTAAACTAACATAGCTATTGAAAATTGCAATTTATAGTGGATTTACCCATTAAAAATGGTGATTTTCCATAGTTATGTTAGTTTACCAGAGGGTAATAAGCTCCTACTATTGATGCTTGATGGTTTTTAAAAGCCCATGATACGCACCGAGAATCTTGGCACGTTTGCGTTGTGGGCGGGTTCAATCCCCATGAAAAACATAGGCCAACTGTGTGCCCAAAGAAAAAATGAAGGGACAACCATGGCAATCCCCAAGGTATCATAAGATGACATCGAAAACAATGGGGTCCGTCATGCCGGAAGCCATGGAAATTTCATGATCTGTGTGTCTGAAAAATGGAGTATGCAAAAACCGATGATTTTCCCATGAAGACCTTCATTTATAGGAGATTTTCATGGGTTTTCCAGCTGGCCACGTTTGATTATCGGGATGTCATTTTGATATCTTTGGGCCTGTTGGGACCTTGGAGGTTGGTGAACGCGCACCTTCTGATTGGAAAACCACGGCGAAACATGCGGAAAACGATAGCAACCTGTGGCGACAAATGGGTTTACTATGGTTTATGATAGCCATGTTTCAAACACTTTCATTCATGTCATCTCAGACTTGCGAAGTATCCCGCCAAAATCCATGATTTCGTAAGTCCATTCAGTTGGTGGTCTGGCTGCTTGCCTTGACCGAGGTACAACCCCACAATTGCCATGTTTCAGGGTCAAAATGATGATAAACCACTACTGGTTGGTGGTTGACCTACCCCTCTGAAAAATATGAGTTCGTCAAATGGGATTATTGTTCCCAACTGAATGGAAAAATAGATTTTGATGTACTGCGACCTGCTTTCAAACAGACCCATGATAACCCAAATGCTCGCAAACACAAGAGCGCACTGCAATTCCAATTTCGTTAGTGGAATCATGAACGGGAGGCTTCTCCAAAGAGTGAGTAACAATTCCGTTCAAGACAGACATGACATTCCACAAGTCCTGAGTTCAACAAACATTTACCTCCTGGGTTCACATTCTTCTACCCGAAGAAACGGGAATCTTCACAGTGAAGCCGCCCCTCAAACTTTGGTGATGAAAATATGACCACCAGCTTCTTTGGAGCACACCGGCCTGTGTGGCCTACACAAGACTGGCGATTCGGCTTGTCCGATTTTGAATCAAACGCAGAGAAAACCATGTCACAAAATAGATGTTTCCACGTGCGTTTTGGCGGAAAATCTGACCTTCCACCCCCCAGAAATCCGACCTTTACGTCATAGAATCCATGGTATGTGTGGAGGTTGGACGAAGTCCCTATGACCACCCCTCTGGCACTGACAGTAGGATGACCAAAAAGTATAGCATGCTGGTGGAGCATCAATACCCAGGTTTTTTTTGCAAACGTTACATTTAGGAAAACAAAATCCTAATTAACAAACAAACTTCATGGATTCCAAGATACAGTAACTTCTACCCTTGGTCCTGTGGAAAACTCTTGATAGTTCCTTAGGGCTCCCCATTTAATACATCATTGGATATCCCTACCTCAGCTCATCGCTTCGCTCCATGTTGCCTTGCATACGGACCAAGAGGAGGAACATTCAAGGCCGAGTAAACCTCAGGGGACATTTCATGACATCTGATGACCCAAGATTCTCCGGTTATGGGACACAAATTGGAGTAATGATTCGTGATGTTTCATGGGACAAGTTATTGATATTGAATATCTGAGATTACTTTGATCAAGATTAAGTAAAATGAATCCCTTCCCCGTTCATACAAAACACCCTCCAAAGAGCTTGATTCAATAAGTGGTCTGGTTTACGCATATTGTGGACTGGAGACTGGGTTGTTCAGTATGAAGGGGATGGGACTAGTTGTGCTGGATGAGGTGGCCTGGGAACGCTGGAAACTGGGAAATTGGACATTTGATCATCATATTCATGGCAAAGCTTACATATCAAATTAAACTGTGACAATAAATTGACAATGCTGATTGCAAAATGAATGTTGCAAATTGCAAACACCAAATTGCATGCATGAAAATCATGAAAATCAACAAGCCAGCTCGCTGAAGGGATAGGTTTAATGGCTATGTCAGGTACCTCAATTGAAGGTACCTGCCATATATAAAAGGTCTAAGGGGCACACGCCCGAAAGTCCCATATCCATCCAGTGGGACGCCAAGAAACTCCCACATCAATGATACCACTGTGATGCAGCTCACTGCTACTCACCAAAGGTTGCCACTCCGCGCTCAAGCAGACACTGCCATTCTTACCTGATGAAAAGCTTGGACCAGCAAATCTTGACATGTGAATGCTTGGTTTAAGGTGCAAGTTTTCCCGTGGACCGTTCTCCAATTGCACACTCCGAAAACTCCGCTTCCGTCATATTTCGGAAAGTCATGCAATCCAACACTGGGAAACAACGGTTTCAATTTAATTATTTTCATTGCGTCCAGCATATAGAATTAGTTGTTAAAAAAACAATGAATAGCACTGGGATGACCTGGGATGCCCTGATGGCCAAAGTTTTTCTGCATGGCAAGTTCTAGATGCTGATCTCATCCTGTCTGATTTTTTGAAAAAACTGGAAGATTTTTGTGATTCATCATGATTCACCCAGGTGGAACCTGGATTAACTGAGGTGGTGCCGATCACCTCAATGGGTTGCCCGATCTAATCGGATTCACAGGGATCATCTCAGGTGGCCCTTGTGCCACCTCGGCAAATTGATTTAGTACACAATTGAGCCATGATGATCATTTGCTTAGTGGTTGTGAATTGTTGTGAATTGTTGTGAAACATGGGAGGTACTTAGACTAGACCCTCTTGAAGTTCAAGAAATAAAGCATGACACATCGATGGTGCAGCATGGCACAACCACCCACCGGTCCGTTTATTAAGTTGAGCCCCTAATTCCCCCATCCAAACAACATTTTCCCGTGGAAAAACATGTTCTCCAATTCCAAAGCAATCACCATTATAAAACGACCATTGTCACCATGAAGACACATTTCCTCATGATTTTCAAGCTATTTCAAGCTGTTCTCCGAAAATCAAGAGATTTTTGTCCAAAAGTTCAATCATAAATCGAAGATGTTCCCCATGAACAGCACCGTTCAAGTCAAGCTTCCCTTCTCCCCTGCGTCATTGCGCAATTGCACGGTGACCTTCTTCTGTCGACCCCATGTGGCCTTGGCGGGTGGATATTTTTTTTGGAAACCTCGAAGAGGCGGGAAGTGGACTAAGGAACATGGTGGGTGAATGGGAAAACAAAAGAAAAACTTGCGGAAATTGGGGAAAACCTTGGAGACTTGGTGATTGAAGCTTTTCTGCATCCCAGTCATTCTCTTCTTGGTTTCAGGACCGGTTGGACGCGCACCAAGTGCCAAAAGAGAGGGCAAACCAACAACATGGATAGTGCATTGTATAGATGCCGGCAACAGCTCCATTCACCGACCGAAACAAAAAACTGTGTGATTTCATTGGAAAAACTGAGGATGAATGGGCTCGCAAACGGTTTTTTCAAAGAAACAAGTGGGGCATTCACCAAAATGGAAATTTTAAACATATGTATACAGTCAGTATGTATATCTAACCAAATGGGGATGTATATGATTGGATGCTTTTTGGGGTTATATTGCTAGTTCGGTCTATGATTATGATTAATCATTAATCAAGACCATTTTTAGGTTGAATAACACGTTAGATATCTTATGGTTGATTCTCTGTTTCGTCAAATATTGCAAGTTCTGAATCATAAATTGCTGTCGGTGAAAGAACATACATGTTTGACATACTTTTTGTGATGTGGACCTGAATTTCCCAATTTTGATGGTTAATCTATGTCCGAAATTGGACTTAACAGGTGATACCTCCACTTGAGACATGGTAATTGATGGTAATGTTCTCCCATGTTAGTTACGGGGCGACTGTGTGCCTATTGTACTGACACTTCATGACTTGTATCTCCCCTTCTTGACCCATGGTCTCCTAATCAGGTTTGGGTTCCATAAAACCTCTCTCTTCATCATGTGCTTTTCGCTTGCGAAAACAGAGACTACCTAGATATTTGGTGCAGCAACCAATGGGAAACAAACATCTATGGAGTTGGGTTGTCAAACCATCAAGGAGTACATGGCTGCAACCCGGTGATGCTTCATAGCTGGCTGATGAATTCGGTTGCAAAATGATGAATGATCTAACTCACAAACACAAACCTAAAACGGGGAGGGCCAACTCGCAGATGGTTCATCCCGTATTTTGCAGGTGGAATGATGAAACAAATTGTTACCATCACACAGCAAGTCGCTTAATGCATGGGATGACGTGCCTTTGTTTGATGGAGGCACTGCCCCCCGAAGCTGTCTCATATTAAAGAAAGTGAGGGAGGTCCCTGCACTAACAATTTCCGATCTTTTCGCTTCTTTTCTCTACAGGTTTTATTTCAATTTAGATCTTTACCACATGCTTCGGCAGATTTGCCTTGCCGCGCTTTCAATCTGCTTGAAAATGGTTGGATTTTTGAAAGTAGTGTGGTAAACCCAACAATCAAGCATCCCAGCAATCAGTTGGGTGTTACTTTACATCACCCGATCGGGAATCATTTATGGCCTTGAGTTAGATCCATGATATCATCCCATGGTTCATCCACCATATTTCGTTGTCAATGGCCTATTTTCCAAAGTTAACACCCTTTTTCCTGTCGTTTATGGCTTGGGGTTTGCCAAGGTTTACTATGAATCTCTGATCACCTGCGCTAGTTTTTTCTTGGGGGAAATCGTAGAATTCAAGAACTCCCCAGCAATCAAATGAAGTGAATTCTTTATTCCTGTCAGCACACCTTAAATCGATTGCAGGTTGAAATTCCAGCTGGTAACTACATATCTTCATTTATGCCGAAGCAATAGTCAGTACATGCCAGTACAGTAGTTAGTACGAAAAACTATTTCACCCAATGTGTTTCCCGCTTTCTGTCAGCATCACGCCCCAGCGGCGAGCAAGTCCACAGGAAGGCTCACTTTTCCCAGGAAATCATCCCGCGTGATGAGGTCCTGCTGCAGACATTCCGAGCCGAGTTTGAAATGCCGAACTAGAATGAACCATTTTTCGTGAATATTGAATATTTCACCTTATTTATATATTTTCTTTTCGGGGTGTTTTTCATGGTTGTACCTTGATGGACCACGTTCTTTGAAATATGAATTACATTTAAAATCTTTAACCGCCGGTCAACACCCTGGGACATTGAAACGCAACAAATAAATCGACTGGGAACATCCTTGTCTCAACCATGAGACTCTGGGGCATCTTACAAACATGTCATTGAATTGGTGTATCCAGGAGAAATAATCGAAAACCACGGTTTTTGCAATCTAAGGGGTTCCCCTCAATTTCCTCTCATCCAGTAGTGGACCATTGACACATGTTGACACTGCCTGAAGCTACCTGGTTCACAATGAAGGCCATCCGCAATATGGAAAATGATACGTGGAGATACATCACTAAGAATGGCAGTCTTTTCGGAGGATGGGGTATAAACAAAGCAATGATCGACATTCGCAAGCAATTTGGGATAGGCGGAAAACCAGTGAAAATAGGACTGACAGGTGATCAAGGGGCTCACTCGAGCCACCAGTGCTACAAATTCCAGCTTCCAAAGTTCGGGGCGGGTTACCATCAGGCACGTGTATATTGAAAATTTCTATTGGTCACTCTTGGTTGATCTAGCAACCATGCGTTTGGATCCTCAAAACTTTGCCGGTTTGCAATATCAATCCACATGTTTCTGTGCCAGGTGTTGTTAGCGGCCTACATTTGCTCAAACTTTTGATGATGAGTGCGAACCTGAAGAAATGCAGATGGAATATGATGGGATGATAATGTCCTTCAAATTCCTCCATCATCATGCAATTTGGGGCTGGGAAAGGGCATGCCACTTATTTGATGCCAGCATGCAGGTACCGACTGTTGCTGATCCATTCTTTTTCTGACCGTGATTTCTTCATTGGCGTTCTCTTGACATTAAGATGTGTTGCCCCTTCCTGGTGTTAAGAACGAGTGTTGATGGGCGAAGAGATGATGTCCTTATTTTGGAAGGTAAACTTCCCATTTCATTTCTGGTGGGTGTGTCGTTTCCCGGATCCTCCATCAATCTCGCTGGAACCTCCCACTTTACCGCCCCATTCATCCTAGCCCATTAGAAGCAGTAAGGGCCCATCATCTACACTGATGTGTTTCCCAAGAATCAAAAAGCAGCATCTCCAGCTGGGACTTTCGAAATGTCATGAAATTTGGGACCTCACCAGCACCCTGGGCCTGTGGCAAGTGGCCAAAATAAGAACGGCCCCAAATCCAGAAATCGATCCCTGAACCGACCCAAATTGTTGATCAAATTGTGCCGTTTTTGACCGCTTTCTTTCCTCCTTTGAAATGTGCCGCTTCATTTGTTTTCCAGTTGGCAGCACAGAAGCACAATTGCATGTGCACAATTTCGCCCCACTCAAGTATGTAGCTACTGGCGCGGATTCCTGGGGAACATATTCTTGATCGTAGTTTGATCTACACTGATTGAAAACTACACGCCAGCGCAAAAAAAGGTAAAGCGATGGCTTGCGCTGCGGTTGAACTGCGCTGGTGCTGGCCACCATGTGGAGTGACTTTGCGACAAACGCTTGTTGCACCGTCTATTTTCCGGTTGAATATATCTTTATTCCTCCCACTTTGTCAAGACAGCAGCGATGCGTGGCATTCGGAGGACCATGTCCATGTGGCCTCAACAAATGCGCAATGGGGTTGACTTCCACTAGGGGTTCATCTTTGGGTTCCGATTGTGAAACTAGCAGATCATATTTCGGTCTAGAACTCACGGGCTACAAATCGACCCAGAAATTGCGTCGAGGTTTCACCATTCAATCTGTCACGAGTGGATCCAGAAAACAAGATTTGGCAAGTGCAAGGAGCTACGAAACATAGAACGTGGAATGTCACAGATAGACTTAATTACCATGAAGCAGCAGGTCTTAAAACAATAAAATAACCCTGAAAACAATGAGATCTAGCTTTGGAGGGAAAAACTGCCTGTGTGACACAAGGAGCGCTTTCCGTGCAGCACAAAAAGGGCTGGAAGCACCAAGAGAAGCCTTTCAGCTTCGAGACCCGACAAACTTTTTGTAGCCGGAGCAATGGTGCCTAAGAATGTCACTGCGGGAACTGGCAGTGAGGAGTGGGGATGCTAATCTGCAAAAATAATTAATGAACATCAATAAAGAGATATGATATAATAGCATATAATAATATACTATGAATCCAAAGGCAAGCTTCTTATAACTTATCTATCCCCTTTTGGGATACGTTGTGCGCCGAACGGTTATCTGCACATTATTCACCATAATTTAAAACATATTTCTAGTGCTCCAGATGCTTAAGCACCTTGAACCGAACCAATGACTGGTGCCTGCTACAAGCAGCCGCAAAACAACAAAGGCTATTTCCCCATCCCCTTTGGACCTTAGCCGCTGGGACCAGCTTAATTAAACATCCTTCAACCCTTTG